CGAGCTGCTCCTAGACCAGGTGCTGTCTATACTTGATACAGGTCTTCAGGATTTTCTTCTAATTCCATGCTACCAAATTGCAGGATACTTGTTGCCTTAGTTATACACACATGTTTCTTACCTGATACATCCTTACACCTAAATCCTTTATCCCATACAGAATTTAGAGAAAGACTCCAATATTTGCATGCGAACCAGCACGTACATGGCAGCAGGATGTGGTCAGAGAAGGTGTTTAGTAGGTCACTTGTGTGTTTGTGCCCCCACCACAGCAAAAGCAGCTTGATAGCTCATGGTCTGTGGAAGGTTCACTGAGCTGATGTTGAAGTATCATGTACATATACTCTTTCAGTCTCTGTTGAATGCTCCTGCTCTGTCTGGCAGAATTCCCAAAGTAGAAAATGCTCTTGGAAGTGTTCTTCCTCAGGGCAGACAGTATTTAGTTCTTAATTTTTCATGTAACCAGAAAGTGTATGTCTCAGTTTCTGTTTTACAATCATATCCTTGTGTTAGGTCTAAATTCATCTATATTCCACACCAGTCTTACTCACTGTTATTCACTATTTTTAATTCTCTACTATTATGTGAAATTATTTCTGCTGGGAATGCTGAATTGTGTCACAGAGGGTAGTGACAATGTTTCTTATACTAGAGAAATTAATCCCAGATCCTTTTAAGTTTCCTGCACTGTATCTTGTAAGCAGTCAGTAAGCAATGCTGGAAGTTTAGAAGTATTTTATCTACGTAGCTTTCTGAACTGAATAAACACAATAGCATTTATAGGTGGTGACAGCAGAGTAGCTCAACTTGAATAATTGCTTCATAAGGACTGGCAGTGTCTTTAATTCAGTGTATGTCAGTGATAGACACAATGCCTGTTCTGAGTAGTGAGACAGTTCCACCTTATGGTCCTGATACCAGCTCCACATGGGCAGATCTTTATCTTGTCCAGAGCTGCATTCAGGCGAGTAGAGATCTGCAGGGACCAGTCTGGTTGCAGGCTGGATGGCTGGAAGATAGGTGGGCAGAGACTGTCAGGCTGTGATGCCCTGCCTTTAATTTTGTAATTCTGTTTGGGCAAATGCAAGTGTCTGGATTTTGTGCTAGACTGAAGGTCCCACCCCAGGTGGCATTACCCTGTGCTCAGGTTTGGGGGGCCAGAGACCCACAGGAGGGCTGCCTCAAGGCAGCCAGGCTGGCTGGCAGTGGGGATCCCGCCAGCCTTCCTTATCCCAGTCCCATGGTAAATTCTCTGCTACCAGTCTCACTTAAGTCTCTTGTTCTGAGACTTTCCCAGGAGATCCCTGCCAAACATCCAGCTCATGGCTGGAAATACCAACGTGCAGCAAAACGTATCCCTAAAACAAGAATCTCTCAAGTGTTTCTGAAGAGGCCTGGCTGAATCAACAAATACTCCCAGTCATCTCCCAGCTCTGGGTGACAGTTTGATACTTTCTTCTTATCATTGATTTTTAGTCCAGTAGAGTTCTCATCCACCAATTGCTCTCTTGAATGTTTTTAATTAACAAAACTAAATTTTGGCTAATACTGGATTTTTTCAATCCAAGTAAACCAGCTTAAAATAAAAAATAAGCCGATGCTCTGGCAAACACATTCAGGTCAGCCTTTCTCTAGATAAACTGTGTAGCTTTGGTAAGGCTAGTCTCAAAGACTGGATCATGGTGCATAATGTATTAAAAAATATTGGGAGAATTCCAGGACCCAGCATTAAGTGGGTAGTTGTAATTCCTGCAGGATAAAGAATGATAAAGAAACAAAATGCTTTAATCCTCCACAAATTTGTCTGACATTTAATCTAGCTACTAACCATATGATATTTCGTTTCTTGAGCTGTCTTAATTGCTCTTAATTCTACTAATTAGAACTATAAAAGTAAGGGAGAAAGTGAAAATGATGAGTAATTAAATTCATATTTCTTTGTAAAGGTATGGCACGTATGTGCCATTCACATTCAGAGCTGTGCAGGACTCTTCGGGGTGGATCTGTGCTCCCAGAATATTTCACGTGCACACAGCAGGTCAGGGCACAACCATCACACTGACACTGTGCACTCCAGTGGCACCTTTCAGCTGATTGTCTCCAATCACAAAAAAAAAGATGATTTAATAGTAACGAAGCCTTTAACAATCTGGAAGCAGAATTCCTTTGTAAGGCATAACAAGGCACTAACTATCTTTTCTCTCCAATGCTTCCCCTTCTTATAAACATCCTCTCCCTGTTCCCAGGTCCAGCCCCATCCATCTGTTTGTCAGTCAGTCCCCTGTGTCACCCAGGCCCCCAGGGCTCAGGCAGAAGTTGTGTCTGAGTCTGGTAGGACAGTGATGCACAGCTGGCTGCTTCTCTGTCTTGCTTTGGCTGCAGATCCAACATTTGAACAGTGGCACCTTTCAGCTGATTGTCTCCAATCACAAAAAAAAAGATGATTTAATAGTAACGAAGCCTTTAACAATCTGGAAGCAGAATTCCTTTGTAAGGCATAACAAGGCACTAACTATCTTTTCTCTCCAATGCTTCCCCTTCTTATAAACATCCTCTCCCTGTTCCCAGGTCCAGCCCCATCCATCTGTTTGTCAGTCAGTCCCCTGTGTCAGCCAAGCCCCCAGGGCTCGGGCAGAAGTTGTGTCTGAGTCTGCTAGGACAGTGATGCACAGCTGGCTGCTGTCTCTGTCTTGCTTTGGCTGCAGATCCGACATTTGAACCGTAGAATCATCACCTTTCTGGACAATTTGGAGGAATGTCCCCATGCTTTGTGCCATGGTTAGCAGGGTGAAAGCTCTGCTGGCAGCACAGCACTCAGCCACCCAGCACTGCTTACGGGGGTGCAGTGAGAGCTCACAGCTCACCACATCACTATACACTCTCTTAGGGGTCTAAGCTAAATCATTCCAATCAAATGAGTGTGTCTGCAAAGGATCTGCATTAATCTAACTAAACCTTGCTAATTTATGTTCATTTCCTTCTATGGAAAGATGGACAAGATGACCTTTAAAACCAGTCTATGATTTTATATGGCCAGAGCTGCCGTCCTGGGGTATCACAGCCCCATGGGGCAGAGTTATGAGCACAGGTGGGGCCCTTGCACAGGGCTGGTAAAGCAGGGGGAGATGTTGCAGTGTAGCACACAGCACACACACTGTTATCCTTTTTAGGGAGCAGGTCAGGCTGCAAGGGGTAGCTGAACGGAGCTGTCTCACCTGCACTGAGGTGAGGAGAGGCCAGAACAGTTACAGAGGAGTCACTGAGGTGCTGAACATCCACCTCCTGTTTTGCCCGTTAGCAACCTGCCTGTGTAACACTGGTTTCTCCTAAAGCAGCAGCCTTACCAAAGTGACCAATGATGCCTTTACGTGGCTTGTTTGTCCTCACACAGCAGGCCAAAAAACCCCCCTAATTTTTAATCTTCTATTTCAATCGTCAGGCAGTACTACTTCCCTCTGATTAAAATTATTCTCCCTTTGCTATACCCTGAAAAGGATAATTATCTCTTTGTAGCAATTGCTCTCAGTGCCTGAAGCTACTGAAAGAGATTCTACCTCCTAATTTGAAGTATGACCATAGTGTCACATTGTGATGACTATTGCAAAAGAGCAATAAAACTGTTTTTCTTATGCCAGTGTTGCACACCACGCTGATGCTGGGACTCCACTAGCAGCAGGCATGTGCTGCTGCTGCTGCAAAGAGGAAAGCAGGGCTGGAGAATGTCTCAGTTCAGCGTGCATTTAGCTGGTCATATATTTACAGCAGTAAATAAGAGCTTAAGCTGGACTTTGGATAAAATGTCTTAAGGTTAGAGAATTCAGGAGTTTTGCTTGCATAAATTTATGTATATATGAAAGCCTATAATTGGGTGATGGGCTGTCTCTGTCTTCTGCTTCTAGATTCAGAAGCTTTAGGCTCAAAATAAATCAGTTCTGCAAACAGTCTGATCAGAATCACCACACAAATCTTTATTCCCAAATGCTGCATGGAAATATATGACTTTTTACCTGTTTTTTTTTTTCCCCAGCTATGCTATGATTTGAAGCCTGTAGAGGGTGTGCTCTCCATTTCAAATTAGGATTGAAAGTCTTTCTGCAAAGTAGTAATCTAGCTCAAACAGAAGTTATAAACTAGCCCCAGACATTATTGGGTGAAGTGTTACAGACTGAGGTACACGGGAAATCAGAAAAGATGACAAGAGTCACTTTTGGAATTCAAAGTGTGTCTGTCTCACTGCAAATCTTGCAGTGTATGGTCATTGTCTTACTCCAGAGCTCACCCTTCTGCAAAGAGGAAGCTGTTGGCCTCACTTCAGTCTCCGCTCTGAAGCCTCAGAAACATATCAAAATAAAATTTAGCAGTGACTGCAGCTCTAATCTCAATTCTTTTAACCATGAATGAGATCCTCTTTCTGAAAAGAAAACTGTTCTTGACCAAACCACTGTAAAGTCTACATCATGTGTAATTTTAGTAAGGAAAGTGTATCAGGAAGTACTACAGTTTATGAGTCATCTCACAGGAGTACTTAGAAGTTCCAAAATAAACTACAGCACCCAGGGGTCTCAAGAATATGTCCCTGAACGCTGACTCATTCTTGAACAGCTCATTATCTAAGTAGGGAAGACAAAACATGGAATAAAGGAATATTCTTCTCCCCAGTTAGCAGATGGGAAAGGGAATGATACCAATTATGTTACAACATGGAGACTGTGACAGAATCAGTGACTGAAACTAGAGCTCCTGGTTCTAGTTCTTGCACCCCAGGTATTTAGGAGTCCCCAGAGTTTAAGTGTGAGGATCTGTCTCTCTGTTGAGCCTTGCTCAGTCAGGTACAGCTGCATGGCATGAGTGGAAGAGAGTGGCAGTCTTCTGCACCCATCCAGCATTTGCTGTCTGGGAGGGTAAATAACTGACTTCTTCCTTATTGGGAGATCCAAGACATGGTAAACAGAAGTTACTTTCAGTTCCATAGACTTATGGTTTTGTTTGTTCATTTTTAGGAACATGTTTCCGTCCAATCTTGTTGAGGCCACATTTAAGCAGGTAAGTGGCTACATTCCTTTTATGACTGATGAGAGAGATGAGGCAGCATCACATAAAACACATATCTTCATAAAACAGAATCCAGATACAGACGTTGCATTTTACTTCAGATATTATTATTGCCTTCAGCATTTAGGAAATGATGAGTCCCTTTCCGTTAGCCTCAGCAGCCTTGGTGTCTGAGGGCAAAACAAACCAGCATAAAATGCACAGTGTGACTAAAAAGAGTAGACATGTACACCTAGGTCAGCTCTGCCTCCACCTGAGGCCAGGTCTTTGAGGACCTTGAAAGGTGTTGTAGGGAAGCAGACAACTTATGCCAGTATGCCTAGCATGGTTTCTTTTAACACAGGACTGTAGTCACAGGGTAGCTGGGATCTCTTTAAGAGCACACAGGAACACCATGCAAAGGAGGAACAGAATAATGTGTCCAGTTAAAGCAAAAACATAATGTATTTGGGAAGAATGCAATTACTCAGATTGGAATTTGGCCAGAAAACCTCATCTAAAAGTTCTGAGTGAGCAGGAGACATGGGTGTATTTATTTCACCTGGGGGAATATTTCATGGGAAGATTTCCTCTGATGACACCAAGTGAAGGGCACTCAGAACCTCTAGGGAGTCATTCCTGATTATGCCTTACAGGAAAGTAGCTCTAACAGGAGATGGTGTGTTTGCTGAACAAAGGTTTGGTTATATATATATTTATATACACATATATATTTGGGGATTGGACTAGCTGACCTTTAAAGCTCCCTTCCAACCAAAGCTATTCTTTAGGAAACTCTGGTTTTGTTACGTTTTTTCCAAAAATTCAACATTTTTTTTTCAGATTTTAGCATCACAGGGACAGGAGCTGTCGTTCTTCTCATGCTAGTCCCATTAACACACAGTCTTGTTGAAACAGAGCACTTAGGAAGTCTCATTAAACTATGAATTCCTGCTGGGATATTTCAATAAAAACTGTGTTGTTTTCTTTCAGTATCGCACCAAGAGTATTCCCATCATTAAATCTAACAAAGCATCATCTGAAAGCACCACTCGTCGCATTATAATATATGGAGTCCAGGATGAGAATGGATCCAATGTCCAGAATTTTGCCTTGGATATCACTCCTCCCCCTGAAGTGATTTACAAGTCAGAACCAGGCGCTAGCGACGGCATGAATGTGCTAGGGATTGTGATATTCTCTGCCACAATGGGTAGGTTTCAAAATGCCTGATTTATAATAATCCCAGTATCCATTTAAGACAAAAAGTTAGGGGTCAAGTTATTTGGTTTCTTGATTCACATTTTGTAATTGCTTGTATCTAAACATTGTGAGGAAAATGCAAGGCTGTTACAAAGCTTTTCTCCCAGCCTTGATAAATCTTCAAAATCCCTGATGACTTTTGTTCCATGCAGGTCTGCTCTCTGTTCATGCACTTACATTCTTTTTTAGTCTATTTTTCTCTGGATTATTTTCAGCTTCTGTTTATGAACCATTGTTTTCCTGAGTGTAGGAAGCACTAATGCAGTGTGCTCAGAGGAGGTAGGAATCACTATACCGAGTCAGACGCGTGGCCCCTCTGCCAATGTTCTGTTTCACTCTCCGGACAGTAGCAAAAATGCCAGACAGGGTATCAAGAAATTCTGAAATAAACAAGTCTGTAGCAGATTTGCTTTCCAAAGCCCAAGAATTTAGAACACTTGTAATGCCCAGAGCTCCAGGTGGTGTTTTACAGGCATGAAGAACTTCCCTCTCTTGGTGGAGGGGACATCAGTCTGAGACACCCGCTGCTCTCATGGCCAGACATTTCACCCCTCCAGCTGGCGGTCCAAGAAAAACCTGCTCCCGGACTAACTCCTCAGCTAAAGTTCCCCCCACCAGGCAGAAAACTACTTTAGCCCTGGAGCAAGCCCTGCCTGTCATTCTTACACATTCTTAGTCACATTTACCACATTATTGGTGCAAAATATAACCATCATTTATGTACGTAAGAACCCAACTCAGATAATGAGCGTCAGTGATATCTCAGATAAGTGAGACTCAAAGGTGTAGTGCTTTATCAGTTTTAAATCTTTGGGTCTTCTCTTTGATTGGAACTTTTTGATTTTATTTTTGCCATAATGCAATGCTGATAGCCCTACTCCGTCTAGTAGCTTATCACAGTGGACTCTCAGAGCTTCTGTCTGGCTAATCTATGCAGTTTCACTTGCTAGGGGAACTCATTGGTGCCATGTGTGTTACATTATGTTCATGGATTTGGAAGAGGGAATTTAAATGAACGTGCCCTAGTTGACCATAAAGTTCTGATGATTTTTACAAGAAAATGCTGATCACATTTTCCATATCTAAATTTATTCTTGGAACTTAATCTGGTTAGCCGAGGTAGTTCCATAAAACATCTTTGACAGTATTTATTGGTTTATGGTTCATATCAGTGCAAGAGGTCAAAAATCAACTCTGGAGTTAGCAGATTTGGCTCTCTTTTTTAGTTTCTCCAGTGGGTGGTATTCCATATGCAACACTGCTGGAAACTGTGACTGGCTGTCCCCCACTTTTTAGTGTTTTGTAGTCAATTCCCAAAGCACAATGGCACAGCAAACACTATTCCAGTCAAAAATATGGATATTAATTAATTACATGTACTTATAGGGATCAAGGGCAATTTTGTACTTCTAAGCATAGAAGATCATTCATTGTCTTCCCAGAACTGAGTGTGTTCGTTTTACCATGCCCCAAAGACTTGCTGGCCTGGGGCTGAAGGGATGGAGGCTGAGAGCTGGTTTCCTGCTGGCTGACATACAGAAAATGTACTGTCAGTGCTGCCACGTACAGCAGAGTACCCGGCACAGCTGCTGGGTCACCTGTGACACCACCTGTGACAGCAGCCACAAACAAAACTCAGACAGTAAACCCGCCAGGCTTGTCACCTACTGGTGGCTAATTCAGACTGTCATTTTCAGCAAAGGATGCAGCCAAACACTTATCCCTGTCTTCAGCTCTGCACCACTCGCAAAGAAATGGAAGCAAAGGAACAGAAGACATGTGGCCTCAGTCTCTATGAAACAAGAGCACCCCTCCCAAATTTTTATTTATTACAGAAAAATGTATATGGGCCTTGGTGCTTTGTAACAGTTTCGCTGAGTCTCATTTGCACAAAGGTCTTTTTACACCACTTTGGCACAGAAAAACAACATTAGCGTGGGTATGAGTTCTTGTTACAGCTTCTTTGAGGTCCTTGAACAGCATAGGAATAGCATAAAGGGACAAGAGTCTAGACTTTAGCTAATTATCTTTTCCTGAAGCAGGAGATTAATTGTGTAGTAATCTCAGTCCAGGAGTGAATTCTGTGCATGGACTTCTTTGCCACATGCATTAAAATGGGCAACGTTTGACAGGCAGAGTGTGAGTTCAAGACATGGAAGACCTAGATGCTCTGCTCAGGAGGGCCTAACTATACTGACTTCTCACACAGTGAGCAGGAATTCCTTTCTGAGGTTATGAGTCTTGAGACATCTGATCTTTTTATCTTGGAGGAGCACATATTATTTATTTGTTACAAGGAAAATGTTTGCACTGACATGGAACTTGGTACATCAGGGCTGTAGACAGAAGGCTCCAGTCTGTCCCCACCAATACCTACATACTTATGTAGGACAATGTTTTAAAGAGCAAATTTCAGTTATTGCTGTAAAATGAAAAAAGTGTCATTTCTTCTTTTTGGCATTTAGAAACTAAGACTCTTGTAAGGCTGCTGCTGGCCAAGCTAGAAGAGCTGAACTACATTTAATATCCTATTACCAAAGATGAGCAACATGCTTGATACAAGAGTGTTGTTTTCTGACTTCAAAGTTCTAGCTTAGATGAAAACAGGCTTACAAACCACATCTTGAATGCACTGCTATTGTGCAATCCTTGGATAAAACAGCTGAGGCTCCCTCCCTGCCTCAGGAGGGGGCTGCCCTGGAAGCCACGCTGCCTGAGACAAGTGCAGATGTGGGCTCCAAGGGACAGAGCCTGGGCTGCTGCTCAAAGCAAGGACACTGCCTATCCAGAGCGAGAGGCAGCACGCCCCCCACTCAGTCCCCTGCTTCCTCATTAAACTCCCTTCTAAGCAGCCTCATTCGGGGCAGCCAGCTTTTGAAGTGCCTCCCTGAGCAATTAACTCAGTCACTCACAATCCTTTCAGGGAACGGTGGCAGAAATTTAATAAAGTAGGAAAATCATGTCTATTTATATGCATTATTGGAAATGAACACTGTCTGGAGAATACGTGGTTAGATGACACATCCCAGAGCTATATTCTTGCCCTTTCTGAGTGCTGGATGCACGCCAGTGTTGTAAATCCATGACAGGGCCCTATGAAAAGGCAGTTAAGGAAACAAGCTTACTACCAGGGGGCTAAATCTATGGCACCAAAGTACCTCCATGGGGAAACTTTCAGGGAACTGCAAAGAAAAAAACCCCCACTTAGGTAGAGGGGAGTGACCTGTGCAGAGCCAAAGCCCAAGGCTGTGGGTGGCTCCCCCAGGCTCTTGTCTCTGTCTAAGGTGAGACTTTGAGGTGCCATGTCTCTTCATACAGCACAAAGATCTGTATTCATCTGGTCATCTCCCACTTGGTTCACTTTGGACTGCAGCAGGGAGGGAAAGCACTGGGGCTTTGCATGAGGTGCCTGAGAAATTGAACCTAAATGCCTTTGTTTGCAGGTATAATGTTGGGAAGGATGGGGAACAGTGGTGTTCCTTTGGTCAGCTTTTGCCAGTGCTTAAATGAATCTGTCATGAAGATAGTGGCAGTTGCTGTTTGGTAAGTAACTGTTTCAGTAAAAAAATCAGTATTTTTTAAAAAAGTAAGAAAATTTCAACAGAATAGGATGCACAGAAATCTCATAAAGTTATTTCCAGGGAAGTAAGTGGTGAACAATCCTTAGCTCTGGGAGGCCTCAGCATTTGAAGGAAGGCATATACACACATCCTGTCCCTGGCTCACACTCTCAGTTTGTCAGAGGCACCCTGTGTATTCCTCCCAAATAACAAAACATGGTTTAGCGTGGCCCGTGGCTGCTGTGCACTCGAGGGGCACTGCCAACCCTCTGGCAAGCCAAGAAGAATTAACATCCAGGCCAAAGGAGAAACATGGTGAGCTGCTCAAGCTGGTGCTTCCATCCCTTACAACACTGCTCCACGAGAAATCCTGGTGTGGCTTCAGCTTGCTCAGGGGAGGGCTGGGCTCTTGTGCTGATGTGACTGCACTGCTGCTGGTGTGGCTGCTGCCACCTTGGCTGCCCCTGCACTGAAGAGCACAGTGGTGATGACAGACCCAGAGTGCTTGGCACTCGAGGTGTCTCCAGTCAGCAGAATAGCCCTCAGTGAACCATCCTAGGCCATGTAACTTGGGAAGAGCCTTCAGAGCAGTCCTAAATTACAGACAGATAGACCTGCCAGCCCATTTACCTCCATGATCAGAGGAACAGCAGGTGACTGACAACAACAAAAACTATCAGCCTAGCATCTTCCTAACCCTTCAGAAGGTCCCACACTGTGGCTCAGCCCATGGTGGGGATCCCACTATCAGCACTCAGTCTTTGTGTCCACCTTCCTGGTCTAGTCTGAATGATCTGGATCAGGGAACGATCACTTGGTTAAATGGGTCCGAGGGAGCAGCAATTTCTGGAAGGATGAGGGGGAGGTGGCAAGTCTCTGCAGATGGCACAGCTGCAAGTGGAAGATGGCTGGATGCCCCCAGTTTGTTGTTTGGTTTTTTTTTATTTGTTTTAAATCTTAAGCTTTTTTGGCATCCATGGCTTTGTGTCTCACCATGCACAGAAGCACAACAGTTTTGATAAAGCACCAATCCTACATCCAGTCCAGAGGGGGTTTAGAAGCTAACTATTCTTCTGCCTTGCTGTCTGTCCTGAATCAAACTGCCAGGCAGTCCAAGAGCACGTCTAATGCCTGTTGGTGTTTCTCCTATGTCTTCCAAAGACAACATAAGCATTTATTTAACAGCTTCCAACTAAAATCTGTGAACAGTTACATGAGCACAAACACATGAGCAGAGCTTAGGATTCATTCCCCCTCCCCCCAGTAAATGACCTGCCGTAAGCGAAGAAGCCAGGTCTGCCTTCTGAACCAAAACATTTCTAAGTGATTCCTAACCAGCACCCTAACATCAGCCATGCTGAGGAGTACCCTAGCTAAAAGATTGTTTAGGCTGGTGCTTCAGGCACTCCTTGAGTTTGAGAGAGAAGGGCTTAGTCTGACGAAACAACAGAGCCCAGCTGTGCTGCTTCCAGACAGGCTGCCCTGCTCCTGGAAGGATTTCCCAGCTCACACTCTTGGGTGGAAGTGAGCTACCTGGTAATAACAGCTGTCTTTCTTTTTGCTCAGGTATTTTCCATTTGGAATTGTGTTCCTAATTGCTGGTAAAATCTTGGAGATGGATGACCCTTCGGCCATTGGGAAGAAGCTGGGTTTCTACGCCATCACGGTGGTTTGTGGCCTGGTGGTCCACGGGCTGTTTATTCTGCCAATGATGTACTTCTTTATCACCAAGAAGAATCCCATTGTCTTCATCAGAGGGATTCTTCAAGCCTTGCTCATTGCTCTGGCCACATCCTCCAGGTATTATCCAGTTTCTAGACAGATGCAACAAAACATTTGCTGGATACTTACTCCAGGTTTCTCTTGGGAACAGCACACTGAAGCTGCACTGGAGCAGATGTATTTATATCTGAACAATGGCCTGTGTCAAGTTCACTGGTGTATTTGTAAAAGATGTTGTCTCTCAACATTTGGAAGTTATGTGTGGGAGCTGTTTGACAATAATGTTTGTCACGTTGTTTGGGACAAGAATGTTTTTTCTTAGAGGACTAGAAAGGAAATAAGAATATTTTTACTTAAAAACAAACACTGTGTTTCTACAAAGTTTATACATATGAGGGACAAACAATTTGTCCAGATTTCCTTTCTGGTGTTAGTGGAGAACCTCCTAGTTCAGTCATATGGAAACATTTTACCATTTCTACTCATCTTAGTCTTTGTTTCTTGGTACATTAAGAAAAGACTGTGGTTGCAAGCTATTGTCCAGCACTGGGAAAGTATTTCACTGCTCTGCTCAAGGAATAATAATTTTTGCACATCCTCATTTTTCAGGAGGACGTACAATGAGTTTTAACCATAGCTGGACAAAGGTAGAGTGAAAATGGGAACCAGCTGGTGAAGCTGGTTATGAAAATGACTCCCAACACGGATAAACTAGTGCATGAGAAGTGCTTGAAAGGGCTGGAATTGACTTGTGTGGACAGGAGAGAACAATGACAACTAAAATAACATTTCTGTGTGGCCAATGTAATGAAAACAGAGTTTCATGGCTCTGTGTTACTCTAAAGTAACAAGAGCAGCTATGCCTACCACTTTTTCTGTGGTAATAAAAGCCACAGTACAAGTAGAAAATGTCAGATAAATAGGTTTCTTTAGCACATATTTATTATTTCTCCTGTCAACTACAAAGGAAAAGGGATACAGAAAAGGAAGGATACCTTTCTTTTATCTCATTTTTCCTTTTGTGTTTTTGAAGTTATTACTGTTATTTTACGGAGAGACTAGAAAATACAAAATTCTTATCCAGATTTTGAAATTGTGACAGCTAGTGACAAACATCAACCTTCATCTACCTAGTTTAGATTTCAAATTATTATTTAGTACAAAATAAATGACAAATTGGGGAAAAAAAATGAATATTTATAAAGAAACATAATGAAAAATATAAAGGTTTTATTAACCCCAAAATATTTATTCTAATTAACAGTAATGAGTGAGGTGTACTTCATCTAATTATACTTAAATACCGATTCCTTCTTCCATCTTACAAGAATTTCTATAATAAGTTTCACTCTGATGACTAACAGATCCTTTCAGGCAATAGCATTGTACCAGCTTCTGATCCCTTGTGCCTCTAATCTTCCTTTTCTCTGTTACTTCCCAAGCTCCTTGAGGAAGAACTCACATAATCTCTCCTACAGTGGAGTGACCCACTTAGAAATAGAGTACATTTGTGATTGGTGGGATTACAGAAGGGAAAGATAGGAATTACATATAGCTAAAAAGTTCTGGGAAAGCAGTCAAACAAATATTGATATAAGGGCCATTTTGTAAGCAGCACATATGGCTTTGCATAGGCCATTATCACTGATACACAATTATGCAAGTTTTGCAGAAATCTGGAACTCCTCTGAGTCTTAGTTAAGTAAATAAATACATGGAGAGGTAACACTATAACTTCCCTGAACTCAGATTAGTTGATGTTATCCATTTTTACTATAATCTTCTGCAAAAGTTATTTTTGTTACAAGACATTGCTTTGCAATGCTGTAACTACCACCAATGCTAAAAGAAATAAAGAATCCCTGTTTTACTGAAGGGACAATGAAAAAGAGAAAACTTGTACTAGACTTGTACTAGACTTGAGAAGAGAGCCTAAAACTTTTATCCCCTGTTCATTGGTCTGATTTGGCTCAGAATAGTTCTAGCAAGGTCCCACAGGGTAATTAGGGGCAGGAAGGTCAAACGCAGATGGGTGTTTCCCTCATAAATATACACACAGTGGTTAGAGCAGGAGTGAGCAGAGCAAAGGCATGTTTAGGAATTCAAAGAAAGGAGAGGAGGGAACGAATATTTCAGTACAGTCGGAAGGTATTTGCTTTCCACTATGTTTCATTTTACAAGGCATTTGCATACATAAAATTTTTCTCCAATATGACCTATAAAGAGCAACAGACTGTGAAATACTATATCAAGAAAAAATTAGTGCTGGGTGACATTCTAAACTCTAATGAGGCTTAAGTAATTAAGACAAGTGTTTTTATTAGCACATAAAAAGTTTGTGGCTTGAGCTGTCATCACATCCCCAGCTTCAAGTAAAATGCTAATTTTGCACTCAAAGATGTTGGTGTTGGAAAAGGCTCCTCAGGTTCACATTTGACACACTTGACTATCTGCCCTGCTCCTCTAAGAATTCTGTTTCTGAAGAACTTTATTGCAGACAACTATGGGGTTTTAATTTGTGCCATTCAATTCATTCTTTTTCTAGACACATAGAATTGTCCGTAAAAATCTAACCTGAATTTTTCTCTTTTTAGGAAAAAAGAAAAAGAAAGTTTTGTTACTTGTTTTACCTTTAGTATCTGTAGAAGAGTTTGTCCTTTTCTCTTCTTTTAATAAGCAACAAAAAAAAATAATTTCTTCATTAGCATAGATCCCTTTATAAAGGAAGGTTTAATTAAGACCTAAAAGATTAGCCCATATCCCACCATTTTCAAAACCAGATTACTTTTCTTTATTTTCCTTATTTTGCATCAGAATTGCATTTTGATTTTATAATCTATTTACTGGTCCTTTACTGATCTGGAAACTTTCAGGGCTTGTGCTTTTTTTTTGTTTGAAGGCAGCTCATTGTTTCTTCATTGGCTTTCACCTCCTTACTCTGTCTCTAGCTCTGAGAGCATCAAGCCACCTTACAGTCATGAAGCACCCTCTCTGCAGTTCATAATACATTCAACTCCAGGTCGCTCATGGTATATTTTGGGGTTAGAATTGTTCCTGTGCCAGTGTCACCGATTGCAGTAATAAAACAAAAAGTCAGACATGGTATGTAATCACCAAAATATCCAACCAGGTCTACAAAGGGACACAGGGGTTTGATTCCCTGTTACACACAACTGCCTAAGTTATATTACTTCTTGGAGAAAGTCCAATGATAGTTGGTTTAAGAATTTTTAGATCAGTTACTTATTTCTCTCAATTACTTGCAGAAGCATAGGGAAAGGATATGCAGGCTCTCCAGCAAATGTGAGCTAGCTCACGTGCTATGTGAGCATACAACTAGTCACCATTACAGAGCTTAACTTTTAGGCAACTTTCAACCTATGGTGCTTACGGGGGTGTTTGGAACTCAGCTCCTCTTTGGGAGAGTTGAGGAAAGAGCCCCAAAAGCCAGTGTGGTAAGGAGAGTTTGGCAGGCATCAGGCACAGCTCTGGGGCGAAATTCTCAGCCTACAGAACTGATGAGAGAGCAGTGCCCCTCTGCTGAGTCTCTTCGAGGTAAACCAGTCCTTACTCGAGGTTTTCTCCAGCCCTGTCTCTCTGCCCCAAGCTGATGTGAGAGTGCCCACTGCCAGCGGGGCATACCTGGGCATTTCAGCTTTCCCTGAAAGCTGACTTTGACTGCCCAAGCTCTGACTCCCGTGACAGAGCCTCTCTCCGGGGGCTATCAAGTGCTTTGAGTCAGCAGCCCCTCCCCTTCCACCATGCAGGGAGTAATGATGGGTTTACAGGCCCAGGGAGGGTGTAGTTCAGGAACAGAGCTCTGGCAACAGCTGGCAGCTCAGCCTCTCGAGAATCACCCCCAGGACTTGCTATCAGATTTGGTATCTTTGTTGTCAGAAGCTAATGTACCACCAAACTTAAGGTGAGTCCTGAGGAAGGGCTCTGAACTTATGGATTTAGGACTTGGACATTTGATGGATTTAGTTCTGCTTGCCTCTTCTTAACAGTGTGTATATTTTGCAAATCCCACACAGGCCCAATATGGTTTTTAATGTTTTTCTGCTCAAATAGCAGTGCCTTGTTTAGAGATAGCTGAACTTTTCACCTTTCTTACGCTGAAAGGAATGGATACTGCACATAACTGAGCTGTTGCCAAAAGAACATGCACAAATACTTGAGGCTGGACAGAGGAGCTGCTTCTCCTGACAGTCAACACATCTGTATTTGGTTAAATAGTACTCGCCACAGGGGCATTATATAACACTCATAATGTAGGTATTGGCTTTTCAGATCATCTTAGAGGAGAACAAAGGGTTGGTTTTAAGCATACTGATGTGTTTCATGGGGATGTTTCTGTGTCAGTTCATGTCTACATCTAAAGATAGAAAGAAAACCACAGATCAGTGTCCTGGTACTCATTCCAGCTAGTCTGCACCTGTGGAAAGCTTTCTTTTTAAGCTAAAAGTCAAATTGCAAGAATCAAAAACAACACCATGTACAAACCCAGGAATGTAACACAAGGGAATCTGAAAGTCACTCAACAGCCATCTCATGGCAATGATTTTATTGAATCTGAACATTATGTCTACCCATTTTCCCTTAAGTGAAGAGTTCTGCAACCCATTCTCAGTCCACTTGTTTTTCTCCAGAAATCCCAATCACAGCAGTTATCTGGTTTGCTCAGACATTACTGGAGAGGCTGGGACAGAGAAGTGATACATCCCATCAAAAGAAGCAATTTTCATCTTCTCTGAAAACAGAGAATAAAACAGTTTTTCGAGGGTTTTGCTGCTTATGAAACACTAAGATCTTGGCTATTGCACAGTGTAAATTAAAGGCAGATTTAGCAAAAGGGAGATGAGATCAGTTTGTTGATTTTTTGGAGCAAATATCAAAATGCATTTGAATGATAAGATAAACAGAGCAGGCAGAACAGCTGTTCTTTCACAGTGACTAGCTGTCCTTGTGGCTCACACTAGTAAGAGCTTGGCCTGATCCAGCATTAGCTTATGCTCAGTCTCTGCAGCTGCAGCATTTTATCCCAAAAATTGAGATAAGATTTTAAAAATGTATTTTTA